TTTTAACCATGTTTTCTGGGGTCCTGCCCAGATTCACTTGCAGTCAGTTGCTTCAATAAACCATTTTGTAGGTCCCGACTTGCTTTCCCTTCACCACAGCCCTGCAAAGTAGGCTGGGTCTTCTTCATTTGTCAGGTTTAACACACAGATGTTCTACTTGGTTGCACCAAACTATTTAGCTAAACAAGAAGAAAGATTATGTGCACAAAGTTAAGAAAACATCATTATTATCTCCACTGGAGTTGAGCAGTTAATAAATTTAAATGAATAAAAATATTATTTATTTTTTATGGCCACCCACTCCAAAATATATAACGATGAAATTTACTAGGGAAGAGAAAAACTGGTGCTAAGTATTTTAAAGAGTGAGCCTGATTTTTTTCTTCCTTCTCTCCACAAACAGATTACAAGGGAGTTGAGCAGAGTGTATCTCCCATATTGGAAAGAACTGAGACCAGTTGAAAGGGTGAAATACAGAATTTTAAAACATAAGCTCTAGAACAAACCGCATAACATCCCCTGCACACACACAGTTAAAATAAGCAAGACATCAGAAAACAGCAGTTATCCTAAATCAGTGCCATTCGACAAGATTAGTTTGATCAAAGGCAACTGTAACCCCATTTTCTCTTAAAAATTCCCATGTATTTATTTTTTGTTTATTTAATAAATAGCCAGGTCTGATGCCAAGCCTATTATATATTTATCAAATTTATATGGCCTATAAACCACTGTTCCCACTGTGGTACCATGATCATTGTTTTCGGCACATCTGCTGACATCTCAGGGCCATCCAGATGTTTGTTCCCCACAGCCCAAAGCTTATTGCATTGGAAGTGCTGGACTGGCACAAAGAAGACCTGGATTCAAATCCACCCTCAACCATGGAAGCTCACTAGGTGACTTTAAGCCAGTCACTCCCTTTTAGCCCAACCCACATAACAGTTGTTCGGGGCAAATTGGAGGATGCAGCACAGTGTATGCTAACTTGGAGAAAAAGCAAGATAGAAATCAATAAGTGATACAAAGAGAGCCTTGTTTATTTAAGTACTGATATGGCCCTCATGCATCCCTAATAAGAAATCATCCCTAGTTTGCTTTCTAGCTAAGATTGGATATATTTAGTCTTTCTCCCATGCTTACAGTATATACATTCTCAGTTACCATTTTTTCTAATAAGGTGTAGTGGTATTCAGGGATCTGTGTTTTAACTGAAACTTGGTATCTTAAAAATACACATACATCTATAACTTAAAAGATAGCTAGTTTATGTGAAATCTTAATGCCCTATTTCTTGCAATGATAAGAATTCTCATTATAACAATTCTCCATCATTTGAAAGAACTATCTTGAGGAAGTTACATATTCTTGCAATCAACAGAGTACAGTATTACAGTATCTGATGCTATTAAGATCTCATCTGTATTAAACAGGGTCATTGTGAGGTGAAGTAAAACATACTATCAGAGCTTTAGTAATTCTTTTTTTAAAGTGTGTGTGTGTGTGTGTGTGCGTGTATAATTTGATAATCCAGATAATACACTCCCAAGAACTCTTCCGTTTTCTTAAAAGTTATGCCTAACACATAACAGTTGTACTCTCCTCTATATATTATTTTCTATGACAAAATATTATCTATGTGGCAAGCCTTTTATATATTTAAATCTGCAGAAAATGCCCTCTTACATCCAATTAGCCAACTGGTATATATATAGTTTATTTTTTTCTGGTTTCTTCAACAATATGAGATTACAAAGTTCTTTTCGTAGCATGCAGAAATACTACAGCAAAGTAGACTACAATAACAAATTTAAAACAAAGTGAAATCTGATGAAAGATTAAAGAAAGGGACCTGAAAAAAACTATTTTTCGGTATCAACTCAATTGCAGTTTTTACTTTGAAAATACTAGAAAATAGGACTTCTGGGGAAGAAATGGTGAACTGGACAGAGACGACAACTGTGGTAGAATGAAGAGACAGGGAATAGACTGGCTCTGCAATTCCTCTCCAGACAAGGAGACGATTGGGATCACTCACAAGTGCTCCGGACAGTTGCTTCTCGCGAACAGACTGCAAAACTGCAGTCTCCAGCGGGTTTAGAGCTCTGGGAGATGAGCGAACAGTTGTCAGATTGAGTGATTAAAGGCTTACATGGCTTAGCTCCCAGATACTTAGAAGACTATCTGTCCAGTCAAAATTTGGCCTGCCCCATATGTACAGTTTGCTGAGAGTTTTGCTGAGGATTTCTACTCCATGTGAGGTAAAGGGAGTGAGTGCCCAGTGATGTTTTTTTCTCTAAAACGCCTTGCCTCTCAAGGTATAGAATACCCTGAACCCCCTGGTATTTGGGAAGATGCTCAAGATCTGACTATTTCAAAGGATGTTTGAATGTTAATGGTGTAAGAGCTGCTGTAGACTTAGCTATATTTTGTAAACTACAAAATGTAAAGATAAAAAACCCAAATTTATGCATTTCTTGGTTGACCATAAATTGCCTTGTGTCTATGGAGGAAACAGTATATTTTTTAAAAAGTGTAAGAATACATGAGTATACACATATATATATTCAGAGTCATGAATGAATGGATGGCTGAAGAAACTGATCTTTATATAATAAATAAATAGCCAGGTCAGATGCCAAGAAGTATTCTGTAATCCAAGCCAAGGTCTGGAGCTCCAAAAAATAAACAAGGAGGCTGCTGAATTTCTCAATAAAGCAGTTGGCAGTGCCATCACATATAGTCTGGAAACTTCTGGACATTCAAGAATCTAAAAAGGCTGGCAGTTGTGATGCTAGGAAGTGATAGATGAGGTTTGAAGTGCCTTTGGTATCACTGCTGGTTCTGAGGATTGGTAAGGTTTGTCAGAGGCAGAGAGATCTCAAATAGGGATTCATAGATCTTGAGTTATGGTCAGACTTGGTGGAAACTAAACATATGTTACCAAAGTCACTCTTCATTTAAAGTTCATGTTCTACCCTTTATTCTTATTCAGTTTAGCCTTTGACTAAATCAGCATTCTTTTTTCCATTTTCTGACAGTAGCCAGAATTTTTGACATTTGAAGATTGGTTCAAATTAATACATACTGTAAGTATGATTATCTGATTTATTTAGCTTTGTCCTTTATTCTTAAAAGAATTTTGCATATCTGTCTGGCTATTTCAATACAGGTAGTCCTCACTTACCGACCACTCATTCAGTGACTGTTCAAAATTGCGATGGCACTGAACGAGCGGTACGGCCGTTGTAGCACCCCCGCATTCACATGATCGCATTTCAAGAACTTGGTAACCAGCTCACACTTAGGATGGTTGCAGCAGCGTCCTGCAGTCATGTGATCACCATTTGCAACCTTCCCCTGGCAGCTTCCCACAAGCAAGTCAATGGGGAAGCCAGCAGGGAAGGTCGCAAGTCACTCTGGTAAGTCGGGCCCCCTTCCTGTGCACTGAACCGCACCCTCCTTCCCTTGCCCTCCTTGCGCTTGCACATGCACATACACACCAGTGTGGGGGCCCTCCTTCCCAGGCCTTCCTATGCTCAAGCCGCACTGCAGCACCCCTCTCCCCCAACTCGCGCATGGCCTGAACCAGGCCTCCCTCACCCCACTGCAGCACCCCCACACCCCTTACCTGGGACTCCCACTGCTTACATGTAGTCCTTGGTTAATGACAGCAGTTGGGACCAAAATTTAATTAATACTTTTGTCTGAAATGGCACTCTGTAGTTACAATCGCTATCACAATTTGGCTCATATTACCTTTATCTTTGTTTTGTAAAATCCACCAATTGTCTATGTTCTTTAATGCTAAACAAATAACATTCCCACAAAGGTCAGGACCGTTTGTCTCTTTAATTCCAAAATTTTCAAAAATGCTTTCACCAAAATTTAATCTTTCAAAATTACTGTCCCTGTTATCCATTTTAAACTTTCTTACATCCAATTCTTGTTAAGCTTTTTGCTGAAAATTTAAAGCCTTTAAAGCCTTTTTTTCCTCCTTTTTTAATCCAGAAAGAATGTTGACTCACCAAGTGGATTTCTTTTATCCTGCTGCTCAGAAAATCTCTCTTTAACTGTAAATTGTAAATTCTTGTTTTTGCAACAGAAGCATGGAAAACAACACAAACTCATTGTTTCAATATATTCATCTCACCAAAATTAATTATCTGAGGGACCGCCTCTCCCTGATTACATCAGCACGTCCCATTAGATCTGGCAGAAAAGGCACGCTGCAGGTACCATCTGCTAGGGACTTACACTTGGTTGGTCCCAGGAGGTGGCCTTCTCTGCTGTGGCGCCCACCCTGTGGGACATTCTCCCCCCGCCTCCCGAAGTTAGGTTAGCGCCATCCCTGTCCATGTTCGGGAAGTCGCTCAAGACTTGGTTATGTCACCAGGTTTGAGGGTCCCAGGGAACTGGTAACATTTTAAGATGGCTGCACTATTGTGGTTGATATATTCACTCTCTGCATGCCTTGTGGTTTGTATATTTTAATTTTTAATGATATTTTAATTTTTAATAATGATTGCTTTATATTTTTATAGTGCTTGTTTTATATATTTGTTGTTTTACATGATTGCTGTACATTGCCCAGAATCACTTCTTGTGAGATGGGTAGCCATATAAATTTGATAAATAAATAATGTATTTCAGTAATGATGTTATTAGTTTGTTTGATTAAGAAACTGTTTCAGTAGATAAATGTTCCATGAAGACTAATTCATCATAATATATACAGAAGATATCCTAATCACAAGCAGCCAGTAGTATTTTTATCTGCATTGTTCATAAGCAATGCATCTGTTTAAAACAACTTGCAAGCATGAAAACATGGAAATCTAAATTAAAAGGTTTCCCCTTTTTTTGCAAATCGCTTATTTTGAATTAAGGTTGGCATTTTTTTTCTTCTAACTTTGAAAATATACAAAAAAGATGTATTAAACATTTAAAATATTTTCTTCCCTCTAGCTTGCCAAGTTAAGGAACACAATCCTGGCAAAATGTTCTACTTGCAGCTGCTTATGAATAAGCGTGGGCCTTTGTCCAAGATATGGCTGGCTGCTCACTGGGATAAGAAAGTCACAAAAGCCCATATATTTGAATGCAACTTGGAGGCTACCATTGAAAAGATACTCTCCCCTAAGGTATGACTCCCATAAAATGCAGCAAAAAATATATTCCCTGTTTTTACCCAGCGTATACAGAACATGTGATTGTGCCTTTTGTTTCTTTGAATTGGGGAGAGACTTGGAATGCTACAAAGCCTACATTTATTCCAGAGGCAGGACCTATTCTTGTGTAATGATGATGTAATGATGGCTAATTTTTTTAACATTTAGAAAAATCCATTTGACATTTTCTTAGATGTATGAATGGCAATACACCTGAGATTGTATATTTAATAATTTGTTTTTGCAAACATACCCCATCTTTCATCCTATAAATGTCCACATGGTGGCACACTACAAATGAACAATAATAAGCAGGGGAAAGTCCTATTTTTTTAGGATATTTGGAGGGAAAGTGCAGTATCATACCCATCTGACTGACATACTGTACCTAAGAAGATTCTAGAACAGATTATTTGAAGCACTTGAAAACAATGAAGGGTTTACTAGAAGTCAGCCTAGATTTGTCAAGAGAACAAGTCTTGTCAGACTATTATTTATTTAATAGGTAATTTCCTTGTTCACTTGTGAGGTTACTACATGATGATTCATATTGGCTTCAGCAACATATTTGTCAAACTATCCAAAATATTCTGATTAGCAAGTTAGTTAAAGGGGCAGGGGTGGCATGTTACTAATGAATTCACAGCTGGCTTGAAAACCATATTCAAAGTGTGCATATCAGTGCACCTATATCAAGCTAGAATGAGGTATCAACGCACTATATTAAACTAGGGTAAAGGTACGTATCACATTATATTTTATTTAATTTTAAAAAATGGAGGGATTACTTACCAGATTTGTGGATGACACAAAACTGGATGAGATATACTATATAGACACAACATTTTAAATTATGTTCATGGGTTAGAGAATTGATCTGAAAATAACAGAAATAAATTTGATAGAGACAAATGCAAAGCTTATATGCGGCTTTTATGCGGCTTCAGTCCTCAGACTCTAAGGGGCTCACAATTCTCACTTTCCAGTATTTTAGTCTGAAAAGAAACATAGTAAGTCATAAAACAATAATAACAATGAGTAGCACAATATAACAGGATCAGTAACAACAAAATACATCAGAAATAATGCAATTAGCCATCAATCTAATTGGTGCCTTCTTTCAGTGCTGGAAGAGCCAAATCACACATCCATTCTACCCCCAAAACCAGGTCTTAACGGCCCTCTGAAATACTAACAGGAATGGGGCCATCCTTGTCTTTGGCGTTAGGCTGTTCCAGAGGAAGGGTTCCATAATCGAGCCATCACTGAGTCTCCTCCCATGACACTTCCTAGGAGGTGTTACCGTAACAGGACATCCCTTTATAGATCTCATGGAGTTTTCAGATTCAAACCAGAGCAGGGGGTCTTAGAGATAACCTACACCACATAAGGTTTTAAAGAAAACAGCCAGCACCTTGAATTGTACCTAAAGCTTACTGGCAACCAATACTGTACACCTTCTACAATAAAGGTATCATATGGGCAAACTGAGTCATCACCATGCAGGTCATTGAATTTTGAACCAGCTGCAACCTCAAAATGGTCTTCAGGGGCAGCCCCTTGTACAGCAGGTTGCAGCCATTTAGTGTAGGTAGGAAGTGACAAGGATATGGGTGATTATCAGTAAATTCTCCCATTCCAAAAAATGTTTCACCTAGGAAAAAATATTTGCAGGTATAGGGAAGGGGGATACTTGGTTTGATAATAGCACATGTGAAAAGCATCTTGGAATTGTAGTCATCTGCAAACTTAATGTAAGTCAGCAGCATAATGTGACTGCTAAAAAGACAAATGAAATTTTAGGATGCGTCATTAAATATATACTATAGCTTCCAGATCAAGGGAAGCAATTGTTCTACTATATTCAACATTGTTCAGCCTCCACCTGAATACTGTATCCAGTTTTATGCACCATACTTTCAGAAGAATCCATAAATAAGTAGAATAAAGGACAATGAGGATGATCAGGGCACTGGAAATTGAGTTCTACAACAAGACATTGAGGGAACTGGGTATGTTTAGTCTTGCAAAAAAACTAAAAAGGGTTGTTACCCAAAAGAAAGTCAAGACCTCTGTCACCTCAGTATGTAAGATATAGAATGATGTTTTTAAGTTACAGGAAGGCAGTTTCTGGCTTAATGTCAGGAAGAATAATAAGAGCAGTTCAGTGGTGGAACCAATTATCTGAGAGTGGTCAGCATATTTTCACTGAATATGTCCAGACACAGACTAGACAGCCAACTGTTGGGGATGTGTTAAACTGGGTTCCTGCACTAAACAGGAGGCTGGATTCACTAGTCTAAATTACCCTTACCAACCTCTATGCAAATAGAGTCATTTACCCTGTGGTTCCTGAAAGGAGTGCCCTCTCCTCACATTTGCATACCATCAGTCACTCTCTTAGACTGGTTTCAAGAAGAAATAGAACCAGGAGAATTATTCTTAAGTTCTATTGTGGTCTTTCTCATTGATATTAATATTAAATAATATCAACTTTTCTCCCCAAGTTTAAAATTGCTCTCAGAACCTCAGGACACCTTTTGTTAGGAGTGGTGAGGATCTATCACAGAAAAACCAAGTATCTTTTGACAGACTGCACTGAAGCCCTACTTAAAATGCAATCAACCTTTCAGCCAGGTATGATTTTCCCTGCTTATTATTAACAAGTAGCTTCTTATTAATTATAGCATAAGGAAGGGGCTTTAATCTTTGAAAACAAAACAAGTGGTGTGCAACGGTCAGAATTCATACTTGGAAGGCAGTCTCAAAGATGATCATAAACTACTTCACATAGAGATTGTAATTCTAAAAACCAAAGTAGGAGTAAATTCCGAAGACTGTAATGGGGCTTATTTCTGAATTGTCATGTCTTAATTAGGAAAAAAAAAAGCAGTATTGAGATGGAATAACAGATCTATGAATGGAATATATGGATTATTTCCACTTCAATACATAACGGGTAAAGAATACTGTCGTATAACTCCTTACCTGGGAATAAACCACACTGAATTAAATGGAATCCACTTCTGAATAGGCACGTATAGAACTTTATAGTTACCCAGGAAACAGACAGAGGAGCTGGCAGCAGTGCAACCCATTCAGGAAGTGGAAGTTTATTAGGGATTATGAGCCTATGGGTTTGGAATAGATGACTTGGGTGTGAAGTCAGATTGGCTTAGAAATTTGGAGAAGTGGCTCAGTTTATTTTTTAAGCCAATCTAATGTGAGTCAGGAGAAATTCTAATTTATGCTGTTAAAATATCGGCTGAATACTATTTGTATCATTGAAGCACTGTTACATATTTGCTTGATACCCTCAAATACCTGTGTGCTTTTATCTTGCAGGATATATAAAGCTACATCATCCCACAGTTAATCGTATGTTATGTATTTTCTTTAGGACTTGTTGACCTTCCAAAAGGAAATTCTGAAGCAAATTATGATGCCATCACATTGCCTGAAGAGTTTTATGATTTTGACACCCAACTTCCAGAGATGAAGTAAGTATTTTCCAGTGTTCATTTATTGCTAAGGATGAAACTCACATATGTGAGAATGGGGTGAATTCCCTCTTGATGTGCATTTTCTCATGGACAGGAATTACACAAAACCTTGCAGTAGAAGACATGCTTAATTCACATACAGGAACACAATCACAGTCCACCTTCTCTGCTACTGCCCTACAGTTCCCTCCCCATTATAAATTTCACTTTCTACAATGATGAATTTGAACTACTGTCTCTCCTTACCAGGCAAATGCACAATCCTGTCTAGTGTATAGTTCATCTGTCATTTTAATACTGCTCTTCTCAGTCCCATTTTGCATCCTCCTCTCATTTCCCTCCCTCTCGGGGTTCTGGATAACAAAAGGATGTGTTTTCTAAATGGTTATAGCTGGATTGTAGAGGATCACTTGTTCTCTGTTTTCAGTCCATTTACACAAGCTAGATATACTGTAGTTCTGAAGAGCACATAGCACTATTTTTTAAAGATTCCCTAAATGGGGATTAATTGGGTTTTCTTAAACTTTCAAGTCAAGATTAATGTTTTTTATGATAATGATTGAACTATATTATTGGGCTAGGGTTAGATGAAAATAGCAACTCAAGCAGCCTTTGTTACTGAATCTTTCTGTGTTACTAAACATTTCTTAATCCCATTATAGTGTGGTAAGAGAAAGGTGGTGGACGTGTAATTTGATTAGGACAAAATATATTAAAATATAGACATGTGGAAATGTTTTCTGAATTAGGAAGTTATAGTCCAGTTATGTAATACTTCCTAGAATACTTTTTTCACTTCATTTTCTTCTTTCGTAATAGTGCCATTGATGTTGCTCAACATTTTACACTGAACCAGAGCAAAACTGAAGACATCACATTGACAGAAGATTATAGTCAGAATGTCCTTCTCAATGGTGGCAATTTTGGTGAGGTTGCAACTTTTTTTCTTCCTAAATCAAAATATAAAGACTGATAGATTCAAAGTTATTTTCATTTCAGGTACTTAAGCTGCAGTGCCATACAGAATTATTTTTTAGTAGAATGCATAATGTTGCATAGTTTATCCATTACAGATATGTTTACTTGTCTAATAAGTCACCATTTGCTTCCCTTATGTATTCAAATTGGGATAGTTGTATATGCTTTGTCCTTTTGTACAAAGTCCTTTCTTCCAAACTAGAGGATCAAAAGAGTAGTCAATTAAAATTGGGTCTCTTGTACAATACTGCTCATAGGAAGCTAAGTATTGCAAACTACATGTTCCTAATTTTTAAAGGTTCTATAACAACTCTGGAAATTACAAGGCTACAACTTGCATAACTAGATCTGTATCTCCTTTTTAGTTAGCAAAATGTTTGGGGGACTGAGAGTGGAGAAGTAATGGGGGATGAGGACAAAATACTTCCTTCCCATAGTTTGCTCTGCCCATTTTCAAAATGTTTTTTAAACAAGCTTTGGATGGCAGATTTAGATCTGCTTAGAGATTAAACAAGTTTTTGTTTTTCTCTAGAGAAAAACAATTCTTTGTTCTACAGACAAGAAAGGATCTTAAGCAAGGTCACTTGCAGGATCATACATATTCAATTAGAAGTAAAGACCATCAAATAAAAGGAAAATTATTTAAACATGTTTTGCACTGTAAATGGCCCAAACTTTCTTGAAATATAGATAGATACTGTACAATGATATTTTTTGGTAAGAGCCAAAAGGTATAAAAATACAGGATATTTCTTGGATTTCAGTATCAGCAAATATTTGTTAATACAGTATTTCATGATATATTGTGCCATTTCCAATGCCTACCATCAAATAAACCAATGGATTCTTCCTCTTTTATTTTATATAACAATAATTAAGAGTAGTAGAATTTGGATTAAGATCATGCCGCCCAATACATTCAATCCATAGCATATAGAGTTTCAGGATATGATTTTCATTAGGATTAAGATGCAGAGAGGAATTCCCTGCACCCTTCAGTCCTATGTATATGTGCTCCCTTCCGAACACCTCTTTTTTTTTAAAACAACATAAGAAATGTAGTTGTTCATTTCTTTTATCATCTTTGTCTCTTTAAGAAATTGTAATTAACGTATTTGCGTCCTTTTAAGTTTAGAATTCCTCTTGTAGTTTGTATTTTATTTTCAAAAGTTGTGTTCTGAATTCAGTTTTTATGAGTAACTGATTTTAACTAGCTACAAAGTATCTTTCTATATTTATGTCCAAGATGTACAAACGTAGCTGAGTTATTCATGTTTTTCTCACAGATGAGGAAATTGAAATTCCAAGGCACTGTAGCTTTTTCAGTGACAGTTTAATAAATAGTTCCAATAGTCTCTTGGCTGATCACAGTTTTTTGAATTTAACTGGAGACAAAATTGCATTAGAGGGTGATGGATTTGGAGATGAAGGAGTTGCAAGAGATATGATTGGTATGTACGAACAAAATCCAGTCTACTTATAGCCTACCTATAAACTTTCTTTCCACTAAACCTTTCACCACATGTTCTGAGAATCTGGTAGTTATTTTGCATATTATTATTAATTTTAAGGAATAGAACCTCTCTTATTAATTACTTCTATGATTGGAAAGATATGCAAAAATTTGTTAAAATGTATAGTAACTTCATTAAGTTCTAGTACAGCTTTTGCATTTTTCTACATATGAAATATGTACTATATATTTTTTATTTCCTATACTATAATATTTATTTTCTTAAGACGATGTTCTTGGAACTGACCAGAATGGCCTCCTTGCAATATTCGACATAGAAGAGGAACTTCCCTTATCTCCAAAAGATCCAGTTGATGATAGAAAGGGTAAGTTGGTAGCTACTTTATCCCATTCTGATTTTTCTTCTTTAAACTGTTTTACTATTGTGGTTAATGCTTCCAGAAATTAAGCATCTAGAGAGATAGCTATGTTAATTTGTAACTGCAAATACAACACTGTGGTTTGTGATACTTTAAAGTTAAATAAATGTATTATGGCATCAACTCTCATAGAGTCAGCTTCTTCATATGTGTAAGTTGTTATTTTTACTTACAAATTACTATGAGGAAAAAAACTGGACAGTAAATAAAATCAGAATAAGTGAAAAGCAAAAAAAAGCCCACCTTTCTATGGCAATTTCTGTATAACCTAACATTTTTTTCTTAACAATAAGAAAAATAGCTATTCATGTCAACAGTAATTAATTAAAGCACCATCATCATGAACATGTAATTAAAGTTAATTAAAAGATGTAGTAGTTAGCAAAATAATTAAATTCAGCCCTGAATAGATACAGTTGTATTTCTTGATTGGTTCTAATTCATCAGGTTCATGCAAAGGTTTTCTCTTAAAATCCCTTTGAAGTATTTCAAAGGAAGACTCCAGTACAAAATTGTTGAATTTAATTATCAAAAGGTTTGTTTATACTGTAAGCCACTTTTCCGTCCTAAGGCTTTAAAACTGATTTACAATAAAGCAGATGAAATCCAGAATCAAAACATAGAGCAGCTGAATATCTGAAAAACATAAAACAGCAAGATTTTAATAATACTGAAGGCCAACTTAAATAACTCAGGTTTCAAGACCCAACATTTGTATGTGAAGTGACACAAATTTTCAGAAGGAATCTCCACAGCATGGACAGCGCTGTGGAAAAGGGCTTGCTCTTAGCCACACGATTATAAGAAAATTGATTCCATTCATTTAGACTTGAATCAAGAAAATGCCTTTACAAGATGTTTAGGTTATAAAGTCCCATATAGGCTTAACTTGAAGGGGAGCTCCACTGAATTCCGGTGCTGAGCAGGAGTTGGACTCAGTGACCTAAATGATGCTCCTAACTTTATGATTGTCTGAATTCAGCAGGACCTACTTCTGAGCCTGAAACACGCGTAAGATTGCAGTTAGTAAACAGACTTCATTATCTTTTTATAACATCTACCTTAACATTTTATTGTATAGTACACTCAAATATAGTTTTAAAGTGGATTTTGAACTGGTGTTTTTCAGACCAGGCTTTTTCTAAACATGAAACAAGAAATTACCAACTTAATGAAACAACATTATTGTCCAATGAGGAAGTTGGCTTTGTTCTTGATCCTGTTCTTGATTCAGGTTAGAGTTGTTCATTTCTCTCTTGAATAAAAAATGCAATATAGAACTGATGACAAATCCAGACAAGCAATTCACTGGAATATTTTTCATTAGAAATGGCATCTCTTAGTCTTCTTTGTATTCTAAAAAGGATTGTCCTCATTACACTTCATTCATTCATTCATTCATTCATTCATTCATTCATTCATTCATTCACAAGATTTGTCTACTGCCTGAAACCAAATTCTAGGCAGCTTACAGAATTTACATATAAAACACAGTTCAAAATCAATGTAATAATTAATTACAGTTATAAATCCAAATCTTAATTCTCCAGTTTTCAGCCCTGAAGTAGGCCAGGTTAGGAAACAGGCACCACAAGACTTACTGGAAATCTACTTTACTGTTAAAGAGTATATCAGAATCTTGAAAACCTGACAGAGATTCTCTCCTCCCACCCTTACACCAAAGAAAAATAAGGCAGGACAATCTTGATTTTCTTTCTTACTCCCTCCTCCCTTCAAAAGCTAAGTTGGTGTTTATGAAATGGCTGTTGAATTCCTCCTGCAAGGCCATCTATGTGCTCCTCTACACTAATTTAAATGTAAATACTACCATCTGGACTCGCCCACTCAGGTAGGAGCAGAACACTATAGCACCATGCCCCCAACTCCCAACCTTTGCAGGAAGCCCAAAAGGATACTCTGGTTGACAGTATTGAAAGCCACTGGAAGAGTGAGGAAGAAAAGAGTAATCTTACCACATCCATTTAAGCTCTGCCACAGGTCATCCATGAGAGTGACCAATGCGGTTTAACTCTCCGGCCCAGATCTGAACCAGGCTGCCAGACAGGTCTAGATAACCCATACCCTCCGGGGCCCTCTGCAACTGCAGCCCCATCAGTTTTTCAATAACCTTTATAAAAAAGGGAAGGCTAAAGATAGGACAATAGTTATCCAGTTTTGTTGGATGCAGACATGGCCTCGTGAAGGGCAGATAAACACCTCTTCCCTCTGTTGAGCACAGCCTGGATCCGATTCTGCATCCCCTCCCTGGCTGCTTTAATCTACAAGTGGCAGAGGATTGTGTCCACTTCCTCAGGGTTCTCCAATTTAAAAGCCACCTAGATAATACCACCAGACCTCACCTCATCAGTTTATGTTTATCATATTATAATCAACGCAGTATAAAATTTACAGTACTGAATTTTTATTAGCACTGCAAAAATAGCTAGGGCTGTGGGCTAGTAGGATGTGATTATTATATGCTTAGCATCCCTGGTTGGTGTGTAACATCACATTTGTGAATGTGTCTTGTATCTAGCTCTCGTAAGGAAACAAAGAAGTAAAAGAAAAAGGAAGTTACTGGTTGATGCAGTGAAGCAGCTAAGCAAAGCTACCATGCAGAAGCAACTTATAAGTTATGCGGATACAGTAACCACATTGGATATTGCACCTCCCACAAGGAAGCTGATGATTTTACAAGAATTGGGTAGCGTAGACAAACTTCTGAGCAGACCCAGCCAACCTTTATTTAGCAAAGATTTGCAGAGGGTAACAATTTATGGCCTTATATGTTATTTCATTATTGCCCTATAACACAAACTAGGTGTGTGTAAGCTTTTACCATCCTAGATAGCTTCAAAGACTTAAATGGGCATGGGGGGGGGAGGTGAAGACCAAGTGACGAGCTTCTAATAGTGATGGCTATCTGCTACTTCAGAGTCATGTGTGTGCGTGTGCGTGTGGTTTTTGTTTTTTGTTTTTTTGTGCCTTCAAGGCAGTTTTTGAATCCTGGAGACTGCCTGGACGAGTCCCTGCAGTTTTCTTGGGAAGGTTTTTCAGAAGTGGGTTGCCATTGCCTTCTTCCTAGGGCTGAGAGAGAGTGACTGGCCCAAGGCCACCCAGCTGGCTTTTTGTCTAAGGCAGGACTAGAACTCCTGGTCTCCCAGTTTCTAGCCTGATGCCTTCAAGAGCTCTAGGCAGTATACAGTGGTACCTCTACTTACGAACGCCCCTACTTACGAAATTTTCAAGATACGACCAGCTCCGGCCCCAAAAATTTACCTCTACTTACAAACTCGCCTCGACTTACGAGCCATTTTCTGCCCGTGCCACGTGGTCCGCGGCCATTTTTCTGTCCTGATTCATGGTCTGCGGCCATTTTTCCGCCCCTGACGCGCGGCGCGCAGGCGTTTTGCCACCCCACCGTGCCGCGCGCGGTCACTTTTCTGCCCCTGACGCGCGGTGTGCGGGCGTTTTGCCGCCCCGCCGCGCGGGTACTTTTCCACCCGACACGTGGCCCGCGGACACCAGAACGGCTTAACGGCAATTACATTGAACCTTATGGGAAAATTTACCTCGACATGCGACCAACTCGACTTGCAATCAGAGTTACGGAACGGATTAAGTTCGTAAGTAGAGGTACCACTGTATAGTGCTCCCTTCTCCCATTTTCCCCCACAATAACACTCTGATGTAGGTTGAGCTAAGAGAAAATGATTGGCCCAAAGTCACCCAGGGAGCTTCCATGACTGAGGGTGCTACTCCATACAACTAAAGTATAGTCCTTTTTCCAAATGATGTCAGGTTCAGATGCCAGTAGATGATTGGGTATTTTTTCCTCCCTGTTTTAGAATAGTCTTGGCACTTCACATCCTTTTTCTAAGTGCAGTCATTGCTTATAGTCTAGCAGCAACTGTAATGAAACCTAATTGATAGATTTCTGGAGTAAACTGTTTTTAAATTGATCTGGCTAGATAGTGGGATCACTTTGTAGAGGAATACAGGGCTTCTTGGCAATGCTACAAAATAGATTGCAGTTTATGTCAGGGGTCAGACTTGAAATAATCTAATAGCTATGTACCTAGACAACCTATTTAATTATGAATTAAACACTGCTCAGTAGCTATAGAAAGCTTTCTGTAGCAACAAAAAGATTAAGCAATGTAAGACTTATCAAATTAGCTCGAGTAAGTTTGTGGTTTTTTACAGCTGTTTGCTAAATGTCTCAAGAATGGAAGAAAAAAGTGGCAGCAGGAGATTGAAGAAAGAAGCAAACAACAAACTGGCCAAGGCAGGACTTTAGATTTTTTTCTGTTTAATTGTTTAATATCATTTATTACTTACCTTTTATTTGAGAACTTAAGGTAGTTTTCCAGTGTTGCTCTTAATTTTATACTCACAACAAACTGCGAGGTCAACTGGGCTGAGAAAGACTTGTCCAAAATCATCCAGTGACCTCCATCGCTGAAGCGGAATTTGAACCCGAATCTCCCCAGTCCAGATACAGCATCTAGATTATAAGGTTTCCATCTGCATTCCCACCTCTGCTCCCCCCCACCAGATGCATATGAAGAATGGCGCTGCATTGATTGCAGTGTCCCAGAACCAAGAAGTATGTCTCTAGAGAAGAAAGTCCTCAAAAAGCAAGGGTTACATCATCATGTCAATGCAAAGAATTATGCCCATTGTTGACAACATTTATAAAACTGCTACATTTAGAAAAATAGGTTTGAACTCTGAGCAAAATCTGTATTGATAGAAGACAAAATTATCCCTTTAACATACCACTATCCTTAGAACAGTTTATTGTTCTATCTTACAGAAATGTGTGTTGTTAATTTGCTGCTGTTAACTTGCTTTTTTTTTTTTTCATTTAACTGATTTAAACATGAGGGTGGGGGACAGGGATGAGAACATCAGTTTTTATTTAATTATTTAATTATCAAATTTATGTGGCTGCCCACCTCACAAAAAGTGACTCTGGGTGGTGTACAACAATTAATTAAATCAAGAAATATATAAAAACATTATATATTCATTCATTCAGTCATTATTAAAATGTAAAAAAACCACAAGGCACAAGAGAGAGTGAATGTTAACCACAGTACTGGGGCCATCTCAGGATTTCACCGGTCCCCTGGCAACCCCAGGCCTGATGACATATCCAGGTCTTTTTAAATTGTTGTTGCTCTTTTCTGGCCCTTCAGATAAAAAGAGGGAGAATACTTAAAAACAATTCCAGGCCTTCAGATTCCTATTTTCAAACAAACTGCTCTTTAATATCTATGCCTGAAAATAAGTGGGCAGTGTTCACGACTCCCGTCCTTGACAGCGCGCCCAGGGCTGTCTTCAGCGGAGAGTCCTTTCTTCTTTTAATCGTGACAGAAATGAAGCAGGTTCCATTACAGGATATGTTGGGAGAAGGAGATCTGGTCAACTTATTGTCCATAACGATAGAAGCATTTCCATCAACCTTTTCTTCAGTTTTAAAAGAATCTAAGGGAATAGAGAAAGATAATTAAATTTGCAAAGCCATTGTGAAGAAAATATCCCAGAGTGACTAGGAGGATCCTGTTTACCTAAGGAAGATAAATTACAACTGAGGATAACTTTGGAATAAAAGATTGAAGAACTTTTAAAAAAGAAGTTGGAAGAAAATATCTTGAAGTGGTACCAACAGAAAGGGGGACCTAGCCTATGGGTAACATTGTGTTAATCATAATGTTTAAATCATTCATGTTTTTCTTCACATTTTTTAAATTGTATTTGCTTTAAGTCCTATTCTACCTAGTAAAGATGATGTTAATAAAGACTTCATAAGTGGTAGCTCATGGCTTCGTGAAAAAAAATCTTAAATGGTTGACTAGGATATGGTGAACTGCAATGTAGACACATTGGAAAAATCAATACTCAATTAGTATTAGCTGAGATTATATGCAAATGATCATTTATTGGTAATGGCAATTGATTGCTAAGTATGTTGGACAAGAATTTAACTATAATTTCTTTTATAATTTTCTTTATTATCAATATAGAACTACCAATAGCAGAAAGTTTAAATATACTGCAGGACACAATTTATCCAAAAACACAATCTGTGTTGCAAAATAGCAGAATCGAAAGGGATAATAATATAATTTTTAAAACTATGGTAAGTACTTTCAGAATAAATTTAGCTTTAATATATTTAGGCAATGGGTGTATTTCCATCAAGATGGGTAAGGTGGGCTCTTGTGAAGTTGGCAAATTAAAGTTTCCACAGCCGCAGCTGCTCTAAGCTGTGATGGGAGTTATAGGGACTATTGTAGTTCCATAATACAGTGGTACCTCGGGATACGAACTTAATCCATTCCGTGACTCTAGGCGTATCCCGAATTGGTCGTAACCCGAGGGAAATTTCCCCATAGGGTTCAATGTAAATCCGGTTAATCCGTTCCGCCCTCCGAATTTGG